GTGAACAGGAATACCTGTTGTTAATTCAATGGAACATTTTGGTTTAGGTAGGTCGCTTGACGTGGACTCACCATTTCCCCGATCCATTAACAACTTGATGGTGTGTTCTAAAGTCTTGGTGACATCGCTTTTCCCATTATCGTGAAATGACACTTCGTCGTCTGAATCGTCTGCGTCGACAGCGAGTCTGTGGACCTCACATTCTTGGGCGGCCATCCCTTGAAGCTGATCGTTTGCCTCATCATCGTTTTGAGAGTTATTCTCCTGAGACTGATCATCTTATCTGTCTCCCTTAGTTTGTTCACAACCAATCAAGCGATGCAGTCCTTGTCGTTTCAGACACCGCATTGCACATATAGCTTGCCATGGATTTCTTCTGAAATTTTTTCTTCAGGATTTTATTCAAAAATGTTCCCCCCACGGATACCACGGAAGTTAATTGAAAACTCGTTTGTATTTAGGCTCAAATTGTCACATGATTTTTCCAACCAATACACCAAAGAATTACCGAAAATAAGTACTACCTTTTTTGGCTTAACAGACATGATTGATTGGCAATAAGCAATTTGACAGCAGTTATATTAAAACAGGTAAAATGATAGTCTTACCGTTAAGTGTTTGTTATCTCCGTGTATATTGATCCAATATATGAATTTTACGATACAACACAATCCGTCCACTTGTATAAGAAGTCTCTGAATCTAAATGTCGCCGATTCGTGATAAATTGTCCAACTATGATGTGCTGCTTCTCATACGAATTTATTCGTTTAAAGTTTATATCTAAACACACTTCCAATTTTATTAAAACGAGTCCAGTGTCTGTAGGGGTTTATGCGTTGTGTTCCCAATTTAATGTTCTAGGTATCCAAATAATACAGACATCCGAGAAAGTTGTAAGTAATACTTAAAACTCGGCAACCGAATACATTTTACGTAAAGTTGTAAATAATCCAGTTGCAAGAAATCTACAAAACTCCACAACCGAAAGAAGTTGTAAATAGTCTTGAAATAAGTTTCAATCACCAACTAATAAGTTGTAAGTAAAACAACTGAAAAGTTGTAAGTAAGCTTGAGAATAATTTTGATAGCTGACGGATCAGCTATAGCTAGTCAATTAAAATCCAAGTAGATGCTGGCCTAGCCCATACCCCATACTTTGAAACATAATCCATACTGGTACACCATTGGTTAGATGGCCAATGAGTAGCCTATGACTGACAGGTCGATTTTGAAACTACATTCTCACTACATAAAACACTTAATTACATTGTTCATTTCAATAAGTTCTTTCATTTTTATTAATAGTTTCAAGGATGCAGGAAATCATCTGAAAGTGACTTTAATGTTTCCTTTTTTCCAATGTACCATCAAATACACACTATGTTTCTTTGATAATGTATCAAGACTACCAACAGGTTCAACCTTGGCTTTCACATTTTTGACTTTATATACTAATGTATTCTCAGGTTTTGACTTCAGATTACTCTGTACAAAAGTTTTTTAATTTATCTGAATTTTTCTCAGCCAATCGCTACTAAAAGGGGTGGCAAGTATGAGTATTTAAGCTCAGATTCAGTTAGAAATGGAGTCATTAGTAAACCATTAAATTTGAAAATAACTGAAACTGCTTGCTCTGACAATAAATTAGACTTTTCCTATAGAATTTATGATCAGATTGCTACATAATTTGTCTCATTTGTGTATGAATATACAATCTTCAAGTAAATGTATTTATTTCTTTATTTTGAAAACACGTTAAATCTTCATTTTTTAAACTGCTAATGGTAGGAGTTGACAATTCAAAGTACAGCCAATCAGCATTGCAGAAATTAGTCACATGATACATATAAACAAAGGGACATGGCTGAGTGTAAATAGAGAACAATGTTTTCTACTTACCAAACATGTGTAGTATTCATCAATTCAATAACTTAATCCAAGAATGCCAATGAGTATATATTCCTTTGATTTTAATTGATATTGTTTTCTTTTTTCATATAAGGTCATTTACTTGAGTTAATTGATAATCCTTGAATGTGTTTCGTGTTTTGTTTTATACATTATGTTGGTGCTAATAATTAACCTTTTCTCAACATTGTGTATCAAAAGCTTTTGTATAAGTCACTAAACTGATATTGCTTAGTTTTCATTTTAATCTGTTCCACAGCAACCATAACTGCCTGATTGGCTCCTTGACCAGGACCATGTTTGATGACAGGCTGGGAGATTAATATAATCCATCTAAAGCCACATTGATATGGTTTATTTTATCAGTTTCTATTCCCATTTCCTCATTAATCTGTCTTATATTTTGTAGTCTATTATTCATGTCATCATTATTTAATTCTATGATACTGCTGTTGACATTTTCAATCGTTTTCTGCAGCCCGTGTGTTGCAGGGGGTCTCATGTTCATTGATGCTAGTAGATATTGGAATTGAGATATTCCAATGGGCATACGTTGTAAGGCAGACATAGCCTGAACATTAATAGTTGCTGGGTTGGGCCCCAGTTTCTTTGTTAGAATTTCTGTGTTTCTTTTCCACATCACTGATATTAAATGCTCAGTTCTTACAGGGTGTCCGGAAAGTAAAGATACAAATACTCTTATTTTAAGAAATTTGGGTTTTTTGAAATGAAATTGCTACAGATTGTAGAGGAACAATTTGACAATATATCTACAAACTTTCATCACATATAGTCTAAATGTGTTCAAGTTACGGTTGTTATGGTTACGGATGTGAGTGGTATGTGGAGCAGTTCCAGAACAACTCTAAAAAGTGAAAAATTGCTAAGAGACAACCATTTGAAACAGTGTTTTTTGTTGTATTTTCTATCTATGTTTTGTTTTGTTCATCATTGTATTATTGCTGCCATAGTGTTTCCTTTTATATAATGATGTCATTGGCACATATCAGAACTATGTTATGTCGCTAACCAGTAAAATGAAAGAAATATTATACAAGTGCTTAGAAGAATGGTCCCTGGCCATTAGTAGGAAAGTCAATATTGCATCTCCACAATGCACCAATTCACAAAGCAAAAAACAAATCTTACAATGGAGTGTCATGACATTAAACCTTTCTACACAATACCCCATTTTCACCTGATAAAGCCTCTTTAGACTTCTACCTTAATGACCATTTGAAAGCAATATTTGTAAAAAGTTCAACATACAAATGAGACTCAGCTGGAAGCAAGAATGTTATCAGCAATCTGAGAGATGGACAGTAGCGGTTTTGTCAGGTCTTTGAATCACCGGTCAAGATGCACCAAGAATGTATAGATAATGGAGAAGATACTGAATATTCAATGATAGTAGTAATATGAAATTATCAAATAATGTTACATTACTAATCCCTATGCTGTTGTGGTACATAATTTGATATAACATAGGAATAGATGGTGTAGTGCTAAGATTATATGAGCAGGAAAGAGATTTGTAAAGCACTATAGTGACGTTGCTCCACATACCCTCGACTCCCGTAACCATAACAACCATAACTTTTTCATTTTGAAACTAAAAGTCATGACAGTTGCAGGATATATTCTTATAATGTCATTCCACATTCTGGAGCAATTTCATCTCAAAGCAAGTAAATCTCTTAAAATTAGAGCATTTGTATCTTTACTTTCCGGACACCCTGTATATTTAAATTTCAGTTTGTATCCTAGTCCGTAAGGATCTTTGGATTTGATGGCAATATTCATTTTACAATTTGGACTAGCGATGTTGAACCGACAAATTGTTCACAATCACCACCATTTGTTCTTCATTTATAATCATTGTTTCAGGCTTTTGTGGGGCATTGCTATATATATTTGCCAATGATTCCTTTTTGTCTTCTTTTGGTCTCTCACAATCTAACACTCTGTAGTACTGATAGACTGAGTTCCTAGGGTGTGCCACTACAGGCACCATCAATTTGCTATGAGTATCCACTGTGGGTCTGGTGATACCTCTGTCTTTACAGTCCTGGTCTATTGTTTTGGGGGTGGTGTGCATGTCCCTTTTTGAACTGCTGGGGCCTTTGTTTTTGTCTTTTGTTGTAAATATATGTCTGTTTTTTTTTGTACATTTTGGGTGGTTTTTCAGTAGTTTCTGACATGTTTCCAGTGATTTTGGTAACAAAATGAGTAAATGATCTGATCTCTGCGTTGTTAACGTGTAAAATGAAGTTAAAAGGGTTGGGAAGTTTATACAGAGTGTGATATCGTGTGTTTTTGCGTTTTTTGGTAGTTGGAAAATAATGGGTTATGTCATGAGTCATGGACTGCTATCAGGCTATCTTTCCTGGACAATGTTTGTTTATTTGACCCCATTTGTTGTAATGTGATACCCTTGTTATCTAAAATAAAATATTTGTTCACATAAATGTAACACATATTAAGGCGTTAATAACAACAAAAAATAATATATTATATATTTTTATTTATTTACATGAAATCATTAATACATACTTTCATTATCATTTTGAAATAGAAATACAGATAACATGGTCCACTAATCGTCTATGATAACATTTTTCCAGATATACAGTACTTGATACAGTGTTTGATATAGATATTTCTGCTTGATTCTGAGACCCTACAGGTGTGATATATGATGCACATGTTCTACATGAAGATGTAAACAAAAACTTTTGATATTTTGCATATCTATTGACAAATGATGAATAAATATTGTGAATATAAAATTAGTGCTATATAAGCAATTTTGTGTGTCTACTTGAATGAACACCACCATAAGTCCGCATTCATGGCAGTCAAAATAATAGTTTTATAGAAAAAATGCTATATTACATGAATAGATGTCTCTGCATACAGTGTATTTCTTTGCTTTGATGGGCCTGGTGGGTCATTTAGTACAGTAAGTTGATGGAACAAGTTGACATGGGCAGCTTGAAGTAAGTTTCGTTCTCACTGCAGAAAAACAGCGCATTTATACACTGCCTAATTTTGAGTAATTTGGCCACTAACTATGGAGCTCTTCATGGCAGAGGGGATAAACCATGACAAGGAAAAAAATCAATATACCGATTTTAATTATTTTCCTCTGGTGGGTACATAAGACATTGTACTTTGATGTAAGGGTGGTGATTTAGCATAAATTCGATCTGTTTTTTGGTGAGAACATTGTAAGTTAACATCACGGCCTATTGCAAAATACTTGTGGTGTGCATTCATTGTCAATTTTAGTATGTACATAGTCACGTTAACTCAGTGGTTCTAGATGATGTGCACAATTATGTTTGTCGTAGAAATATTTGTAACGTTACTTAGCCACATTGTCCCTTTCTTTAAAAGTTCATGATCAGGGACATTCGGTTCAATATTTTGTGGTAATGTTGGTACTGTGGATCTTAGCTTTATGGACATTAGGATTTCTGCTGGACTTTATCCTGTTGGACCTGTTGTTGGGAGTTCAGTGGTAGCTCGGCAATGCAATAGCTGGATCCGTTTGTTTCAAAGTTTGCTTAGCTGTCTGGATGGCTCTTTCAGCCTCTCTATTTGAAGATGGACAATGGGAACTGGATGTAACATGTCTTATATCATATTTCTTGAAAATCATAGTGTTTCTGTTATGAGTAATTTGCCCCTCCCATCTCTTCGATTACAAGCAAAAATGTTTTTATAAGGAAAAAATTTCTCTTCACCCATATTCATGAAATTAAACAGGGCTTTGGCCCTTATTTCACTTCTGATGGAAATTGTAATACTTGCTCTAGTCTCTTTTGTAGACACATTCAGTGTGCAATTTTCCATTAACTTTTTAATAACAGCAAATAGTTCTATGTGCATGTCTCTCTTAACATCTATGACATATGGTGAGCCACCAGTTTTGCCCCATGGCCTCATTTGTTGAACAAGTTTAGTGTGGATGGTAAAAAGTTCCCTTGATACCATGGGCTGCACCCTCAGTTGGGAATACATTATGCTATTACTCTTGATCATCCTTATGGTTGATATTTCTTGTGTAAATTGTGTAGAACCTCGTGTGCCTGGAAATGAAAATGGTATATACTCTACCATACCATAATGGTATGTAGTCATTTTTTCAAAATAAAATATCATCGAATAATTCTAAACAATAATGACGTGCATGTACCTAACGACTTGTATTGTATTGAATCTTTATTTACCATATTTTTAAATGCACGTTAATCTTCAGAAAGTAAATATACATGCATTGTGTCGATCTTACCACACTCTCTCTACATGAAGCCCATAGCGTAAAGTACTCTACTTTAACCTTGGTCAGTCATTAAAGTAATACTTGTATCTGCAAGAATGTAAATCATATTTACCTCACTAAAGTAATTTGTGACTGCAGCAGGCAGTGTGTCTGTGCCCAAGAAATGTATGAATTCTTTCCGTGCATCGTATATACAATGATATTTGCATAACTGTGCTGAGGTAATCATAATCCCACTCATTTTCTAAATAGTCATAAGGCTTCTCACTTGTCCATCTGAAACAAGTAACATAACTTGAGTCAATAATGTATTATAGGCCTGGTTACTGATTCAAATCCAAAAGTCCAAAATCTGTCATGGGCGATAATACAGTAATAATGCGCTAATGCGCCATTTTGTTATCCAAAGAACATGATCTCAGCTTTGTAATCAATAAAGGCTTTGTGAATTTTTGATCAATTTTCACAAAAACTTCAGAGCTTTGAAAAAAATAATTTTTGAAAAAATTGTTCTGAACAAATTTTATAATAACACATTTATTCAAAAGAATGGTAAGCCCAAAATTATATCAAAAATACGGGAATATTCTCACTGTTCAATCAACAAATGAATGCCTTTTGCAACTCTAAAATCAATCGTTTTTTATCAAAATAAAAAGAAACATTTACCTAGATCGTGTTGGATTCATTTTTAAGGAGCATATGGTAATCAGTTTCCAAAGGGAGCCTCTGAAAAGTTCATAGCAAACCAACATTAGTACAGTGACTCACCGCTAGGAGCGCCACAATACAGGCCGTTTTGAGACCGTCTGTAACCACAGTGAATGCATTAAATTCTGACGACACAAATTGAGGCCCATTATCAGAGACTATTACCTCAGGAATACCATGTCGAAATAATAGCATTTTCAAATGATTGATAATTTCGGTTGATGTGGTTTTTGTTTGTCAATTTCATGAGTTCTATAAAACTTCTTGAATAAGATCAAGTTTAGAAACCAGATACACCAAAAACATTGGCATCTACACAATATATCAAATTAATTGTCTCAGAGACTCTGCGTGCGAGTAAATTACCCATTCTGTTACGTACTACATTGACACGAAACAAATACAGTTAATCCCACGACTGATACCATGTCATGTTTTATACAAACATGTTTAGTGGGCGATACAAATGGCACAATACACAGAACATAAAGTTTGCAAAGTTTATTTAATTCCACCGGAAGTCCCAAGCATGTGCAAGTGCATGCTCATCTCTCACGTTTCACATAGTGTAACCATGAACCAAAATATATCAACAATTATAAATTGTAATCCTGGGAACATGAACATAGACGATAACATTACAATAAGGAGCAATATAACAGTAGTTTATGGGTTGTGGTAGGGGGGATGCTTTGCGTGGTGACAGTTTCTAGAGATAAAAGATGTTTCAGGAGGGAATATTATGTATTGGCTTTTATAAAGGAAGCCAGCCTGGCCATCATTTTCGAATTTAATTCGATTGAGATATCTATTGAGCCATATTTCAGAACTTCAAGATATTTATGCTGGGAGATTAGCCTGTCAAATACTTCATGGATCAGTTTTTTTTCAGGTACAGGTAGGAGAGGTTAAGCTACACATATTTAACAAAACGTAAACGTGAACTCCAATGTGCGCGCAGGTAAATGATGTCAGATTTGTGTATTTTCTGTGGGCCAGCTCGAAGTTTACAGGTTCTTACATTAGATTATCATATTGGTGCATTTTACAGACGCGTATTCAACAAAGCATGAATGTGTACTTGGAAATAAGAATACATTTTAATGGGTAAATGACAACTTCAAATGTGATTGTTTTGTTTCATTCCGTACAATATAAAAAGGCAGGGCTAATTTGATACCCGGGGCTTAGTACATATATATATGTACAATATGTATACTAAACGAAATGAAATGACAACCAGGGCCTACTATTGCCTTATCACTACATTTGATTTGCGAACGAAGCATTTTCTTTGTATTACTTCCGCCCTTGATAATAACAAAAAGTGATACTAAAGTTTATGTTTATGTTTATTTATTATTTAAAATACACACAAAATACAATATATGAACTGGGTGACACTTTAAAAAGTGTATATTCCCAATATTAGGCAAAAATAATACATGTGTGTTGTCATACCTATTAAATGCAGTTGGGGACCTGCCTATGTATTCATCTATTTGAACGAAAGTATTGATTTGTCACATCATAATAGACCAAATGAGATAACGTTTTGGCATAATGTCAAAAGTGTTCTTGAATACAATTATACCAATGAGTGCAAATATACTTACAATGTAGTTTGAACATTATTTGGAACAGAGGCAAAATCAGGGGGTACAGCAGGGCTTAAAGGAAATATAAGTCAGTTTAGTAAAAAAAACAAAAACAACAACAAAAAACACAAAAACAACATAACTGTATGTGATTGAAATGTTACCATATGGGTCAGATATACTGAGCAATCATATTGAGAGCAGTTTTGTTCTTCGAAGAAACCAAAAAGAGCATCCAAAAGAGCATACACGAGAGAAAGCATGATGAGGGCAATGGGTGATAAAGAGACAGCAAAATATCAATTGAGTTAGTATGTTTCCAGAAATAGTTTTTTTTTAGTTCTCTTTTAAATGAATAGAGGCTTTTTATTTTTATTTGTTTAAGTCTTTCTGGTAATTTGTTCCAAAGCTGGGGTATTGAAATGGATATAGATGATTTACCATAATTTGTGCGAAATTTAGGTTGATCATAGGTCATTCTATTTCTGGTGTTATAAGGATTTCTTTCATGAACTGTTGTAAAGAGCCGAGGGTATATACTCCTATAGTTATCTAAGTCATTTTTCCATTTGAACATAAATATACATTTCGCTTGCTTATTAATGTCAAAAATAGTAGTAAGTTTTAACATTTCAAAAAGTGGAGAGGAATGTGCTCTATAGTCACTTTTTGTTGCAAGACGTACAAACCTTTTCTGGGACAAGTGAAGTGGATTTATTGATGTGGATTACCATATATTAGATACGAATAGATCAAAGAGTAGTAAATACTTGTAAACCCTTGAATGTTTAAAATATGCTTAATCTTGTACAATGGGGCGATAATTTGTAAATAATTTGTCATTATAAAGTAATTGAATTGTGGTTGAATATGAAATAAAGCAAAAATAAAAAACAAAAATGTTTCCATGCGAGCGCGACTAGATTTGAACCAAGGCTAAGGCTAATGAACATGAGTCCTAAGTGCTAACCATTACAACATAGAGCCATGACCCTTAGACACAGTCACCACAATGTAATCTATAGCTCCACGTCCAATGACATAGTTTCAGATGTGTAGCTTAACAAAACATTTTCTTAAACGTGTACTTGAGCGTGGACTTATGCGTTCAGGTTCATGGTTTACATTTGAACGTGTAGCTTAACTTCTCTATTGATTAAATTCATTCCTAGCATGTGTCAAAAGGGCACAATGGAAAAAAGAAGTGTTTAACTGTTTGAGGATCCCCGCAGGTACAATTTGGGTTGTTAGTATTGCTGAAATTATGAGCATATAGTTGGGCCTTGAATAAAAAGTCGGCCCTAAATTTATTTACTACTATCTCATGTCTCCTTGTGAGATTCAGGCTGTAATGACATTTATTGGATTTTTGAAAAGTACTTTTTGATGTTTCTTGAAATTCTAAATAGTCGCTTTATTAGGAGGCCTCCTATTAATTTTGTAGATATAATTATTCTTTATTATTATTCTTTATTATTTATTCTTCCCGGGACCTTTTCTCCTACTTCTAGCTAACTTTTAACTAGCTACTACATACTCTTACTATGGACCTAGGCTGAACTTGAGGGGAAAGGAATTTTTATCTAGGTCAAATCTAAGTTTTTTTCAAGTTTCTCGAATCCTGACACTACATTTCAATATTTTTGCCTGATTTTTTGCATACAGATAGATATTAGTATTCTATTAGTATGAGCCATTTGCCGTCTAGACAAATTTTGTCTAGATTTTGAGATACTGAAGGTCAAAAAAAGATCAAGAAAGGTCTTTTTTCAACTTGTTTCAAATTGACCAATGTTTTTTTAAAACTCATCTACAAGTTCTCAGGATTCCAAATCTGACCTTACTTTTGACCTTTAGTTGACCTTCAGTGACCTCCAAAAGGTCAAAAAGTTGATTTTTCAAATTGATTTTCTTGATTCAAATTAATACCTAAAGAGGTCAAAAAAGTAAAATTTGCAAGGTCAAAGGTCAAGGTCATTGAATTAAATCACAAACTGTGTTTTCTAAGTTTCTAAAAATTGGTGACTACAAATCAATATTCTTTAATGAAAGTTCAGATATAAATTCCTCTTAAGGTTCTACACATATTAGCTATTGATTATATATTAAAATGTTGCACCAGTTTTGAGATATTAGAACTCAAAAACTGAAAAAGGTCAAATTTTGAAATTTTTCAAGGTCAAATTTCAACTAGCTCTTAATTGACCAAACTTTTTTTTAAAAAACATCTACAACTTCTCAGTCAGGAACTCAAATCTGACCTTAGGTTTGACCTTCAGTGACCTTTGAAATGTAAAAAAAGTAGATATTTCAAATTAATTTTCTGGATTCAAATTTAGGAAAATTTAATCACAAAAGACCTACTGAGGTCTAAAAAAGTAAAATTTGCAAGGTCAAGGTCATCAAACCAAATCACAAACTGTGTTTTCTAAGTTTCTCAAAGTTGATGACTACAAATCAATATTTTTGTATGAAAGTCAGGATATCTATTCCTCTAAAGCTATACACATATTAGCAATTGATTATCTATTAAAATTTTGCACCAGTTTTGAGATATTAGAACTCAAAAACTGAAAATTGGTTTTGAGATATTAGAACTCAAAAACTGAAAATTGGTTTTGAGATTTGACCTTTGCTTAACCATCACTGACCTTCGAAAGGTCAAAAAGATGACTTTCCAAATTGATTGTCTGGATTGTCTGTATATTTAATTACAGATTTCAGTACAGTGAAACTGTCATAATAAACACCTCTTTAGTTAAGAGGACACGAGTCTACTCTATTGAACACTGATTCCCAGCCAGTGATTTCAGTACAGTGAAACTGTCATAATGAACGCCTTCTTAGTGAAGATTTGTACCCAGTGAACACACGAGTCTACTCTTTTGAGCACCTGTGTGTAGTGAACACCTGTGTGTAGTGAACACCTGTGTGTAGTGAACACCTGTGTGTAGTGAACACCAATTCCC